TGCTTGCCGAACATAACTCGCGGCCGTGGTAGGCTCGCTACGTGCGAGGCCTACGGCCTAATCTTAACAATACTTCGACCAACATAACATCACTGCACACAACCTGACTTAACATGAATGTAATAACCTGAAAATACAACCGTTGCACGCTGAACATGAAAGGGCCGCGGCGGGCGCGCCCTGCGCCGCCGACGGCTATACGCCGTCTCTCGGCCACAACACCTTATTATCCGGCAACTTCAGAACAACTCAACATGATCATTATTATGAAGCAGTTTAAAACATAAACACACGAACAAATATGGTTATTAATGAAGGCAACATGACACGGCCCGAGGCCACCCGAGGCCACGCGATAGGCGCTGGCGACGGCTCGGGCCATTTTATTAACAAAACTCCGACTTTACTCGACAAATCTAAACTTATCGAACATGAAATCAGTTAATACTGAACATTTAAACGTTAACAGTTCAAGAGTTGCCGGGAAAAATCGGAAGTTGTTCGGTCGTGATTTTACTTACGCATGTACGACTATAAGCATGACTTTACATGAAATTCTCGAAAATCGATCGAACACTTAACCTTAAATTGACCTTATTGACAAGATTATAGCATGAGGAAGGAATTACCTCTCGGATTGTTCGACCGAAATCGGAAAATAGGCGTGCTACTCGTCCTTGCGTGCTACGTGCGTTGCTCCTATCTTTACCGTACGATTTTTAATGGAAATTTTTAGGAACTTGCTTGATTTTTGGTTGTTGATAGGTGATATAGAGCTGGTTGCTTAGAGGAAGTAATGAGCTGCTTATGCCTTAGGGAAAATTAGGGAAAATTCGTACAACCTCCTTCCACTTATACTAGTGCGACGGGTGGGGTGTTGATGCACGAGAGACGTGGTCACATATACCCTTGCCATTTGCTATCAATTAAGAGGGATTATAGATGACTAAGCTCCTTGTTCTTTTGCCACGTTGCCTAGCAAATGGAGGAGGAAATTTGATTTCCCTAACTTAAAGAATGCTACGGCTTTTACTACAAATTTGGAGAGAAATTCCCTAACTCACGGCTATTAGGGCTAATTATATGATTAATTGAATTAATTAATCACTAAGTATGTTTAATTATTCAATTAAAAATAATACTTAATTACCAAAATTATTCCGAACGTAATCGGTACGCCGAAAATAAATTTCGGTAATCTCGACTGAAAATAAATAATTCCGACGATAATAATTTGATAACATTTATTATATCGGAACTAAACATAATTTATACCGATAAAATATCGGGATATTACAATCCTCTCTCCTTACAAAATTTCCGTCCTCGAAATTCAAAACATAACTGATATACAAGAACTATGTACATAAGATAAAGAAATATGTACATCAAAACTGAAAATCTGGAAAACGAGCGCGAATGTCAGACTCTTCCTCCCAAGTAGCTCCGTGGCGATCCCACTGAATGCGCACGAGGGGAATATCTCGCTTCCGGAGCCGACGAACCTGACGGTCTAGTACAGCTACCGGTCGCTCCTCGTACGATAGATCTGGCTGAACCTGAATATCCGTATGAGGGATGACATGATCGGGGTCGCACACGTACTTACGCAACATCGATGCATGGAAAACATTATGAATGCCTGATAACTCGGGAGGTAGGGCTAGACGATACGCGACCTCGCCTACTCGTTCGAGAACCTCGAACAGACCGATGAAACGAGGGTGCAGCTTCCCTCTCTTTCCGAATCGCACAACTCCGCGAATCAGACGAACTCTGAGAAAGGCTGGCTCGCCAACCTCGAACTGAATGTCTCGTCGATGATGATCGGCGGAAGATTTCTGTCGACTTTGAGCTGTCCTGAGTCTCTGCCGGATCAACTCGACCTGCTCCGCTGTCTCCTCGATCATCTAAGGACCGAGTACTCGTTGCTCTCCGACGTCGTCCCAATAGAGAGGGGAACGACACTTGCGACCATAAAGTGCTTCGTAAGGAGCCATCTGAATGGATGAATGATAACCGTTGTTATACGCAAACTCGGCGTACGGCAACAGTGACTCCCACTTAGCACCCCTGCCAACAACCAAAGCGCGAAGCATATCCTCAAGTGTCTGAATAGTCCGCTCTGACGGACCATCTATCTGCGGATGGTAGGCTGAACTGAACTCGAGCTTCGTGCCCATCGCCTCATGTAAGCTGTGCCAGAATCGACTGACGAATCTGGGATCTCTGTCTGATACAATCGTAATGGGCACTCCGTGGAGTCGGATGATCCCACGGGTATATATCTCAGCCAACTTGTCCAGAGACATCTTCATCGAAACAGGTAAGAAATGAGCAACCTTAGTCAATCTGTCGACCACGACCCAGATAGCGTCGTGATGTTCAGATGACTTTGGCAATCCCGTAACGAAATCCATCGTGACTTCCTCCCACTTCCACCTCGGAATCGGTAGTGGTTGTAGGAGGCCAATCGGACTCTGATGTTCGACTTTGACTTGCTGATAGGTAAGACACCTCCTGACAAACTCAGCGACGTCCTTCTTCATGCCTCGCCACCAGAACGACCCTTTCAGGTCGTGATACATCTTCGTGCTCCCGGGATGGGCCAGATAGGGTGCGGTATGTGCCTCTGATAAAATCTCCTTCCGCAACGCCTCGACCTTCGGGACCACGATCCTGCCTCTGAACTCCAAGGCACCATCGGTACCTAACTGAAAATCCTGGACACCTCCGGCGCGAACCTTGGCCTCCATGACACGAACAAACTCGTCAGAAGCCTGCTCTCGCCGGATTCTCTCTCTCAGTGTCGGCTGAAGCTGCATAGCACTGACACTGGCACTGGTACTCCCCGAGACATCAATGGGAAGTGCATCGATTGCCTGAAGCTGCATCCGGGCAAACTCATGAATCAACGGACTCTGCTGCATAATGACGTACGTCAAGTCACCCTTCACCTTTCGGCTTAGGGCATCCGCGACGACGTTCGCCTTTCCCGGATGATACTGAATAGAGCAATCATAATCCTTGACAAGCTCAAGCCAACGGCGCTGTCTCATATTAAGCTCCTTCTGCGTGAAGATGTACTGCAGGCTCTTATGGTCTGTGAAAATCTCGCAACGTCCGCCGTAAAGATAATGTCGCCAGATCTTCAGGGCATGAACGACTGCTGCTAACTCCAAGTCATGCGTAGGATAATTCTGCTCATGAGGCTTAAGCTGACGTGAAGCATACGCAACGACCTGTCCGTCCTACATAAGGACACATCCCAAGCCCTGTCTCGAAGCATCGCTGAAGATAGTGAAACTCCGAGAAGGATCGGGAATAGTCAACACCGGTGCTGAAGTTAACCCCCTCTTGAGCTCCTTGGAAACAGTAAAACTAGAATGTACAAGCTTAACTTAAAGCTTGTACTTACTGATTGCATGACTTGAGAATCCAGTAATTTAATACTGCATAAAAGACTTGATCTGAACTGAAGATACATCAATTCACAATTAAGTGAATTGTAGAATACTGCTGACTGAAAATGGACACTTTTCTGAAAGAAAGTGCTCCACTGATAAGACATGATCTCAAAACGAAACTCTGAAACATGTTGGTCATCCTCTCCTGGCTGCTGACGGATCTCCAATTGGAATGCTGGTGGTGAAGATTCCTGTTTTTTGTACACATGGAAGATTCCAGAGATTCACATATGCACAAATGAGGATAACTAGCTATATTGGTCCTTACCTTTCATGAATGTCTGCTCGACGACGCGGCACATCGTTCGCGGCACATTGTAATGCGGCACACCTGCTCCTCATCAAGTGAGTGCGGCACGCCTGCATACAGCACCTGGCGAACATTGCACCTGCGCCGTCGACGTAATCTGATCGTATACCTCAAGCTAGTAACCTCAATGTACGTTAATACTATCTCTCTGTAACCTTTCAGTGTACTGTGACTCAAGCATGGCATGCTTGGGGTGGAAATCGTCGGTTTACCATCAAGGCACGATCCGTTGTTGTCGATTGGCTCTTCTTCATCGC